AGCAGGAAGCAATTTTTTGGATTTAATAATCAGTGTTGGAGTTTGTTCTGCTCTTCCTCCAGTTACATATTCAGGCACAATAACATAAAGACTGAGCTCCCTGTGTCCTCCAGATCCTCTAGAATAGGAGTGTATGTGGATCACAGTGTGGGAATTCTGTCCTTCTATAGCGTCTCTGACACAATGAGCCTCATCCACACAGTCCAGACCACATTCACTCAGACGCTCTATCCTGGGTTTGGGTTTGCTACTGGATCATCAGTGAAACTGTGTTGATGAATCAGAATAGATGAGATTCCACACATAATGCAGCTGCATGATGAATCACTGACAGATGTTATAGAGTCTCTTCATGAAATGAATACTGCAGCTGAAATACTGTCAGTGAATTAACATGAGAATAAATGTGTAATAAATCCTCATATATGTGTGTGTCCTGCTTAGTGACGATGTGTTACTGTTTGCATTATTATTATCAGAATTACCTTTCAGTTAAAAAAGCTTCTTTCACAAACATTAACTTGAGTGTTTCTTAGTTTCTATATTTCTTCTGATCCCCTCTTTCTCTGCATAGTTACAGTATTTTTTTTTTTTAAATGCTAGGACACATTTCTCAATACTTTGCTCACTTTTTCAAAACTCTTCACACAGTTCTCCTAACCAACTTTAATCTTGCCAGAGCAGTTCATTTCACATTCAAAATGCACAGAAAATACCAAAATACTTCATACATGTTTCAAATCAACTCTATCTTCATAACACAAGCAAAGGTTTTCACCCAACAAACACACTTTATCACTTATAAAACAACCTAAAAAACACTAGCAGGCAGCATTATACAATGTTTGCTTTCGTAAAATTGCAGTTAGAATTCACTGCAGTAAATGTTACATAGTCCATGTTTACATTACAGTTCAACATTATTCCTAATTGGTTTTCTTTTGTATTGATGGTTATGTAATTGAAAGACTAACTAGTTGTTCTGCTTAAGCTGTTTTGATAGCGTTTCATTTTTTAAATTCAGAATATATTTCAACATGGTATTACTGTAAAAAAGCCTTATTCATTTTTGTATTATGTTGGGTTTTGAACTTAATTTTAACAGTTTTGTAAAGGCAAGGCAAGGTAAGTTTATCTACACAGCACATTTCATATTCAATGATAGTTCAAAGTGCTTTACATAAAAAGGAATTAAAACAATCACAAAAAATAAAAGCAAAGAATTTTAATAATTAAAAAATTATTTAAAATGAATTAAAACAGTTAAAGGGTTAGTTAACCCAAAAATGAAAATTAGTCCATAAATAGTCTCACCCTCAAGGCATCCTAGGTGTGTATGACTTTCTTCTTTCAGACAAATCCAGTCGGAGTTATATTAAAAATGGTCTTTGATCTTTCAAGCTGTTTCATGGCACTCAGCGGGTGTTGCAGTGCTTCAGTTCAAAAGAAGTTAAATAAAAAGCACCCATCCATAAAAAGAAGTGTCTCACACGGCTCCGGGGGGTGAACAAAGGCCTTCTGTAGCGAATCGATGCGTTTTTGTAAGAAAAATATCCATATTCAAAAACGTAATAATCATTTTAATCTAGCTTGTGCTCACTGTTGTAAACAGAAGCAGCTCCGTTGAAATAAATTAGGTCCTATTATGCTTTTTCACTTTTTCAACTTTAGTTAGTCTGTAATGTTGCTGTTTGAGCATAAAAAAGATCTGCAAAGTTACAAAGCTCAAAGTCCAATTCAAAAGATGATATTTTATTTAACAGAAATCACTTTTCAAAAACTGCAACGAACGACTCGTTTGGACTACAACGCATATTTTCCGGGATTTGTGATATCACAAATATGGACGAATGGGACGAGACCTGGTTGACCTGCACTAGAGAAGGTAACGAGTATTATCACTATGTCGGAGACACGCTAGTGAAGGCAGACGAACTTAGAGTGGTTACAATCATCCGGGTTTAAATCGCACAACACACACTGGCCCAGCTAACCAATCACAGCACATTTCGTATTTCAGAAGACGGGCCTTCATTTGATACAGGAACTATTCGAGCCGTTCATGCCAGACTGGGGAGAGAGGTGTTGTAATAATGTAAAATATGTGGAAAATAATGTGTTATTTGAACAACCTAGCATGAGAGCATGTTCTAGTACACCCCCAAAACAAAATCAAGACTTTGTAAAAGAGCACAATAGGACCCCTTTAAAGTTACAGAGAGAATTGGGGGAAAAAAAACTTAAACTAAAGTACATTTTCGTAATGAAATAAAGACCTCATGTTGTAGTTTTTAGGAGTTGAGTTATAAGTTTCAAATTTTATAATAATATTTTACAGCTCTAGAAAATGTATCACCACTGAATGATTAAATCACATCAGTTTGCACATTGAATTTAGCATCGCTAAAATACAAAAATAAAAACTAAAGTTATACTGAAGAACTGAAATGTGAAAATTGCAAGGTTAAAAACAAAATAAACTAATATAAAAAAGCTTAAACTTATTTTATTTCTGCTACATTTCTCATTTTCATTTAGTTGAAGTACAAAGTAACTAAAACTGAAGTAGAAGTAATAAATAAAATTGAATGAAAACTACATGACATAATTATTTAAACAAAACAAAAACTAATAAAAATGTAAATTGTAACTTTAAAATGATAGTATATAGAGAGAGGCTTACTGACCAGTCGACACGCGCTGACATCATTTCCTGTCTGTGTCACGTTGGTCGCACCGCTTGACTTTGGTCTTGCAGCTGAGAATCATGGTCCTGTGTATTTTTCCAAACTGCTCAAGGAGGATGTTATTTCAGTGTGACAAACTCCAGCGCTGAGAGGACTGAGATCAGTCCGTGTACTGGTGCGTGTGCCGTTATTCACCGGCCGAACAGCATGGTTTAACCCTTTCTGTGCTGTTAGGAGGTTATGCTAGTGCGTCCATAATTTTGAATGTGTTTTTAATAGAAAACTTTTTTAGTGTGTTTGGAGGTCATGATAGCTCACATGCGTGGGCTGTGTTCATGGGCATCCTCCGCGTTCACAGGGGTTAATCACGCGTGTCACCGCTGTAGTGTGTGTGTGTGTAAGATTATGCAGTGCTCTCAGTCACTGACCTCATCAGCTGACCAATCAGATTCAGGCAGCCAACTCTGTTGACCAATCAGTGCACTGGATCCGGCTGCCATTCTGGATCAGGTGCTGCTGAGTGAGCGTCGCTGCAGAAGCTCCTGGAAATCAGGAAATAATGACGTTGGTCAGGGTCTTCAGAGGACCTGTTTGAACACAGTCATGGATCAGACCCACTGATGCTTCTTGTTGGTTCGTGTTGTCTTCACGTGGTTTAGTGAAGCGTCGGCTGAGCAGTGCTCGGTCACTCACTGTAGCTCCTGCAGGCCTGTGAAGCTGGTGAAGGAGTGCCGTGTTTAAACAGTGAATGTTTCCAGCGTTTCATATTGGTGTGGTGTCGTCACATCAGTGCAGATCAGAGAGTGTGATATCGGCGGAGAAACGCGTCTGGCCCTTTAAGAACGCTGCCATGCAGAAGTTTCCCTGTTCTGCTTTCACACTGAGAACTCTTGAGTATGTAATATTGCTGGAGTTCTTCAGTCAGGGAAACTGTGAGTTTGCTCTCTGTGTGTGTTAAAGCGGCTTACGGTGGCTCAGGAGTGCTGCGGGAAGAATGGCAGGAATTTCCATCACTCCCCTGGAAAGAGTGTCGTCGCATGTTTGCAGCGCTCCTGTTCAGCTGAACTGAAACTCTGTTCATGTTTTCTCTCCTGAGCAGAGTTTCAGTGCTTTCTCTCACACACACCGGGCTGATCGTCCTGAAGCAGTTTTCAGCTGATCAGATGTTTTCACTGATCCGAACACGACCGCTGTAGAGGCGGATCATTTTAGTGAATATGCCCTGAAGAAGAAGAATCACTAGTTGACTCTTTAAGTGGAGCCAGAATTAAAAACAGATTTGTGGAATAGCTTGTGATTCTCTCTCTAGATGTGACTAAGTAACACTAAATGATGTTCTGTTTTTCTAATGCACTGGAATTAAACCATACAGGGCCTTAAAAGTGAAGATGCCAAAAGAAACGTTCAAGAACCCAAATCTAAAAGCATATTAAGATATCTTTAGGATTTCTGTAATTAGAGTCACATGAACATCAGGAAAAAGCAGAAGAAGTGTCACCACTGGCACATATACAGCAAGAGAGATTGCAGAAGTCACCAGATTTCACTGACAGACTCTCCGTGTGAAAATAACAGGATCTCTCTGGAGTCATTTGCACACCGCTGTAATCTGGCTCTGAATCTCAGGGCAAAATTGTCATTTTGACGCTCCTCTACAAAAGAGTGGATTACTCTGTAAACATACATCCATGACATTTATTATTTTGGCTTTCTTCTTCATTCAGATATTTCTTTCACCAGAAAAGATGCTAAAATTAAAACGTTTAGCCAGGGACCCCTGTTGGAGTTGACGTGTGTGTGTGAGTGTGTGTGTGTGTGTGTGTGTGTGTGTGTGTGTGTGTGAAAGTTCAAAAGAGCAGCATTTATCTGAATGGAAATCTCTTGTGAACATGTTGTTGTTGTGTTTCAGCATGTCAGACTTGACCTACTCTCTGGTGGACGTCTCCAGTGACAGCTTCTGGGAGGTGCGTAGCGCTCGTCTGCGCGTGTTTCTCTGCTAGCTCTGTGTTATTGTAACGCCTACCTTCCTACCTTACATTACACTATTCTGCTCACACTTCAAACTACTTTAAACTCTCTGGTCAGGCTTTCTCAAGCTTACATCACAGGCAAACCTTTTAGTTATGTATTTTTAATATATATTTCAAATCAATGTTTAAATCAATACCACATGATGATGTTTTAATGGTTAGGCCATAAACAGTTTATCAGTAGTGAAAGTGAAATGCTTCATTCCTAAAAGCTTCCAGAGAGTCAAAAACAGACCCAAGCCAGGGAATACATACAAAATTAGAGCAGGACCAACACCCTGTGTATGTCATTTCCAACAAGCTCCGACACACCCGTCTGGAAGTTTCTAGTGAGTCTGAAGACCTTTATTAGCTGGCTAGGTGTGTTTGATTAGGGCTGGAGCTGAACTCTGCAGGAATATGGCCCTCCA